CGTCCTCCAGGTCTTCTTCCCCTTCAGCATCCAGCTCTACCCCCGCGAGTTCCCCGGTCACGACCCCCGCGACTGTCCCCGCGACGTGGGCAAGGCGGCGGCCCTGCGCCTGGGCTGCATCAACGCCGAGTACCCCGACTCCTTCGGGCACTACCGCGAAGCTCGCTTCTCCCAGACCAAGCATCACTGGTGGTGGAAGCTGCATTTCGTCTGGGAGCGGGTGCGGGCGTTGCGGGAGCACACCGGGCCGGTCCTCTTCCTGGAGGAGGACCACTACTTGGCCCCCGACTTCTACCACGTCCTCAAAAAGCTCTGGGCCCTGCACGAGCGGGAGTGCCCCGAGTGTCAGATCATCTCCCTGGGCACCTACGGCTTCGCCGGCCGCGCCGACAAGGTGGAGATGAAGACGTGGAAGTCCACCGAGCACAATATGGGCATGGCCTTCGGCAGAGACACCTACCAGAAGCTCATCGAGTGCACAGATGCCTTCTGCACCTACGATGACTACAACTGGGACTGGACTCTGCAGCACTTGACTGTCTCTTGTCTTCCAAAGTTCTGGAAAGTGCTGGTTCCCGAAATCCCCAGGATTTTTCACACGGGGGACTGTGGCATGCACCACAAGAAATCCTGCAGACCGTCCACGCAGAGTGCCAAAATCGACTCTCTCTTGAACAGCAACCAACAGTACCTGTTTCCCGAAACGATGAGTGTCAGTAAGAGGTACTCCATGGCACCCCTTTCCCCTCATGTGAAAAACGGAGGGTGGGGAGATATTAGGGACCACGAACTCTGTAAAAGTTACCGCAGACTTCAGTGAGGATCGCTCTCGCCGCCTTTTTCTTTTTGAGTTGTTCCATACTGTCTTTTACAGGCACACACGTGTATAAAAAGCATTTATGAGTTGGTTTCTGCTTTAATATGAATAAACATTCTTGTAAAAGGTGTCCCAAAATAGTAATCTTTCATGTTCGGCAACCACCTTTTGGAAACGGGTTACGTGCTGCTGCCAGGCCGCTCAGAGCAGCGTCGCAGCCCCTCCGCAGAAAGCGACCGCTGCTGTGTTTACTGGGAGGAGGAGAAAACTTTTGTGCTTAAGTAAGTGCATCTTTTCTGGTGCTTATAGTGCTCTGGCCTGGGGTTTTTCCCCCATCAGGGGCAGAACGGGGGTGCCCGCAGTGCGGTGG